AAAGGGGCACAGAGAAGGGCCAGAGAGAGGGCACAGAGAGAGGGCACAGAGAGAGGGCACAGAGAGAGGGCACAGAGAGAGGGCACAGAGAGAGGGCACAGAGAGAGGGCACAGAGAGAGGGCACAGAGAGAGAGGGCACAGAGAGAGAGGGCACAGAGAGAGAGGGCACAAGAGAGAGGGCACAGAAGGAGGGGCCAGAGGGGCACAGAGGGAGGGCACAGAGGAGAGAGGGCACAGAGGGAGGGCACAGAGGGAGGGCACAGAGGGAGGGCACAGGAGGGAGGGCACAGAGGGAGGGCACAGAGGGAGGGCACAGAGGGAGGGCACAGAGGGAGGGCCAGAGGGAGGGCACAGAGGGAGGGCACAGAGAATGAGAGGGCACAGAGAGAGAGGCACAGAGAGAGGGCACAGAGAGAGGGCACAGAGAGAGGGCACAGAGAGAGGGCACAGAGAGAGGGCACAGAGAGGGCCAGAGGGGCACAGAGGAGGACGAGGGGGCACAGAGAGAGAGGCACAGAGAGAGAGGGCACAGAGAGAGAGGCACAGAGAGAGAGGGCACAGAGAGAGAGGACAGAGAGAGAGAGAGAGAAGAGAGAGAGAGGAGAGGGATAAGGCAGATGAGAGAGAGAGACTAAAGAGAGTACATACGATGATGAGAGAGCATGTAGAGGTTACTCACGAGGAGCGACATAACACGATGAGAGAGCAAGTAGGCAGGTATCACTCACTGGGAGGTACATAACACCGTCATGAGAGAGCAAGTAGGCAGGTATCACTCACCTGGGAGGTACATAACACCGTCATGAGAGAGCAAGTAGGCAGGTATCACTCACCTGGGAGGTACATAACACCGTCATGAGAGAGCAAGTAGGCAGGTATCACTCACCTGGGAGGTACATAACACCGTCATGAGAGAGCAAGTAGGCACGCATCACTCACCTGGGAGGTACATAACACCGTCATGAGAGAGCAGGTAGGCAGGTATCACTCACCTAGTAGATACATAACACCGTCATGAGAGAGCAGGTAGCACTCACCTGGCCGGTACATCTTCTTCCTGGTCTCCACATGCGGGGTACCAGGCAGGGTGAGTGTGCAGCCAATGATGGTGTCTGGTTCAGTCTCCGCCCACACAATCAGTCCCCACGCGCCAGCCCACCACAACCCATCCTGGCGGTGACCGTTCCCACCTCTCACGCCAACCTCCTGCCTGCACACACACCAACACAATCACCTTCATTCATAATGTTTTGGCTAAAGAGTTAGTAAGTTTATTGGGGTACACTTAAACAAGTGCAGTTATCATTACCTAGTAACCTGTGTAATTTTACCTAGGTTTTTCCTAGGTCTGATAAAGTCTAATAAATTACGTGGGTTTTACTTTAGGTCTGATAAAGTGACATATTTCCACTGGGGTCCTTGAAATTGAGAGAATTATTTTGCCCAATGGGAGAACACTAAGAGAAATATTAATTTCTTAGTAATGTGATGATATAAGTTGACGTTGTGAAAGAGATTATTGGGCGAGATCGTTAACAACCCTATAACAAAATTGATTAAATTAAATGATTTTGAATAAGTGCAGAAAAGTGACTTCTAAAAAACGGCCACATTCACTTTAGCGTCCACAGAGCGCACAATGAAACACCACGTGTTGCTGAGAAACAGGTGAATCGTCACCTACCATGCCTCACCTAGTTCCGTTGGGATCCCGAGTGTATAAGGTGAACTCTGGTCTAGGCGCTGCACCTGAAGCCAAGCACGTGGATGTGCCAGGTGCTCAGAAAAGGGCTCCAGTACTTCAGGTCCACGAAGTGAGCAGCTTCTGTCGAGGTACACGTCAGAAAAAAAAATTTACTAAGTGATTTCAACAAACGATCCGAAAAATAAAATAACGAGAATGCAAAAAAACATTATTGTTCACAAAATTTATTTTGGGGGATACACGACATCATCGCTGAAATTAAATTAAACGTCCTTAAACAGTACAAAAGTTTCAGTATAGTAGTTTTGTCATAGTCACAAAAATATTCAAATTTCCTTACAGAGAAATTTTTTCCCAAAATTTCTTGAATGTGTCACTTCCATTCATTAAATAAAACATTTTTTTATTTTTCAATAGGAGATATAATAAGGTATCCGCAAAATCATCACAGATTGCGTTACCTGCTTTTTTCTGTCCTCGTGTATTGCATCCAGACAGCTTGTAGCAGCGATTCTTCCCGAACATCTTAGGGACAAGATTGGATCCAGGACCAAAAATTCATTGACGGAGCAATGACTGGGATAATCTAACGGCTCTGAAACCAGACCCGCTCCCCCCAAACAACTACAAAACAATCGCACTGGGATGGTCCAAAAAGTGGAAAATATAGCCTCAACAATGCTTCAGAGTGTGTCGGGGAAGGATAGAGCCCGCCTCCTGGCAGTGAGAGCCCTCATGCTGGGGACATTCTGTTGGCTGTTCCCAACTCCAACCTTGGCACACGCCTCGACCCACAGACCATCCCCGGTGTTGCCCTTCGACTTTCCGCCCCTATTCTCGCCCGAACACAGGAGTATTTGTGGCAGTGAAGCGCAGACCGATTCGGGTACCATGGTCTTGTGTGCCGTAAATCCGAGGGAAAGATTTTCAAGACCCTGAGGAGGTTAATAACATTATCAAGAGGAGCCTCACAACAGCTGGAGCCCGCAGTAAGGGAGCCACCCCAACTATGCAGATCTGATGGTAGCCCGAAGCGTCCAGATGGTATCACCCCTTTCCCGCCTGGACAGATGGGAAGCGGTGGTGTGGACTAAAATGTGCAAACTACCCAGGCTGATACCTATCTCCAATACACCAGGGAGGAAGGAGGGGCAGCTGTCAGCTTCAGGGAGTCCAAAAGTCTAGAAAATATGGAGAACTTGCCCTCATTTATGTTTTTTTCCCCTAGGCTCAGAGACCCTTGGCTCATGGGGAAAGAGTGCATCTAAATTCCTAAAGGAGCTGGGGAAAAGACCAAACCCGGGTAACAGGGATCCCAGGGCAGCTATTTTCTGTTCCACGGCTCAGTGCGGCTGTTCAAAGGGGTATGCCTGCGTATTTGGGCCACGCCCCAGTCTGAGGAGCTGGATGAGATTCTGCCATATAATCGGTGATATACACGTAACACAGGTACCGTATTTGCCACCTTATATCAACAATGATACTCTTAAAAATTGGGGACATGTTTTGTATTATTTATGGGGAAAAAATTATTAAAGTGGGGGGTAGGGGAAGTGGAATATTTTAAAGGCTAAGGGAATCAATATTCTCCTTGGTTCATCCACTTCCTGGGTGGGGCCCCATTTACTACCAGGGGGCCCTTAAATTTTTTATTTTTTTGTGTGGTATGTGTGTTTTTGTGGTGTTTGGTGTATTTTTTTATATATATATATATATATATTAATGGGGTCCACCTCTGGTGTAAATTGTGGGACCCATAGCCTCAGAGAAGTGGATAAGAATTCTTCAAGGTAAGAATATTTGGATTTCTTCCTGAAGCCGTTTGAATATTCCACTTCCCCTACCACCCAATCTTTTAATATATTTTTTTTTACCAATAGTAATATTTTATTACATAATATGGTACATTAGATTTAAGAGATTCATTGTTGATATAAAGGTGGCATATACGGTACATGTTGTTACGTGTATATCACCGATTATATGGCGAGAATCTCATCCAGCTCCTCAGAGCTGGGGCGTGTGCCCAAAATACAGCAGGCATTACCCCTTTGAACAGCCGCACTGAGCCGCTGGAACAGAAAACTAGCTGCCCTGGGATCCCTAGTTACCCTGGTGAGTCTTTTCACCAGCTCCTTTAGGAATTTAGATGCACTCTTTCCCCATGAGCCAAGGGTCTCTGAGCCTATGGGAACAAACATATAATGATGGGCAAGTTCTCCATATTTTCTAGACTTTTGGGACTCCCTGAAGCTGACAGCTGCCCCTCCTTCCTCCCTGGTGTATTGGAGATAGGTATCAGCCTGGGTAGATGCACATGTATAGTCCCACACCACCTGCTTCCCATCTGTCCAGGCTGGAAGGGTGATACCATCTGGACGCTTCTGGCTACCATCAGATCTGCATAGTTGGGGTGGCTCCCTTACTGCTGGGCATCCAGCTGTTGTGAGGCTCCTCTTGATAATGTTATTAACCTCCTCATGTCTTGCAATCTTTCCCTCGGATTTACGGCACACAAGACCATGGTACCCGAATCGGTCTGCTGCTTCACTGCCACAAATACTCCTGTGTTCGGCGGAGAATAGGGGCGGCAAGTCGAAGGGCACACCGATGGGATGGTCTGTGGGTCGAGGCGTGTGCCAAGGTTGGAGTTGGGAACAGCCAACAGAATGTCCCCAGCATGAGGGGCTCTCACTGCCAGGAGGCGGGCTCTATCCTTCCCCGACACACTCTGAAGCATTGTTGAGGCTATATTTTCCACTATTGGACCATCCCAGTGCGATTGTTTGTAGTTGTTGGGGGGAGCAGGTCTGGTTTCAGAGCCCGTTAGATTATCCCAGATCATTGCTCCGTCAATGAATTTTTGGTCCTGGACTCCAATCTTGTCCCTAAGATGTTCAGGAAGAATCGCTGCTACAAGCTGTCTGGATGCAATACACGAGGACAGAAAAGCAGGTAACGCAATCTGTGATGACTTGCGGATACCTTATATATATCTCCTATTAGATAAATAAAAAAATGTTTTATTTAATGAATAGGAAGTGACACATTCAAGAAATTTTCGGAAAAATCTCTGTAAGGAAATTTGAATATTTTTGTGACTATGACAAAACTACTATACTGAAAACTGTGTACTGTTTTAAGGACGTTTTAATTTAATTTCAGCGATGATGTCGTGTATCCACCAAAATAAATTTGTGAACAATAATGTTTTTTTGCATTCTCGTTATTTTATTTTTCGGATCGATGTTGAAATCACTTAGTAAATTTTTTTTCTGACGTGTACCTCGACAGAAGCTGCTCACTTCGTGGACCTGAAGTACTGGAGACCTTCTGAGCACCTGGTCAACATCACGTGCTTGGCTTCAGGTGCAGCGCCTAGACCAGAGTTCACCTTATACACTCGGGATCCCAACGGAACTAGGTGAGGCATGGTAGGTGACGATTCACCTGTTTCTCAGCAACACGTGGTGTTTCATTGTGCGCTCTGGTGGACGCTAAAGTGAATGTGGCCGTATTTTAGAAGTCACTTTTCTGCACTTATTCAAAATCATTTAATTAATCAATTTTGTATAGGGTTGTTAACGAGTCTCGCCCAATAATCTCTTTCACAACGTCAACTTATATCATCACTATTACTAAGAAATTAATATTTCTCTTTAGTGTTCTCCCATTTGGGCAAAATAATTCTCTCAATACAAGGACCCCAGTGGAAATATGTCACTTTATCAGACCTAAAGTAACCTACGTAATTTATTAGACTTTATCAGACCTAGGATAACCTAGGTAATTTACACAGGTTACTAGGTATGATAACTGCACTTGTTTAAGTGTACCCCAATAAACTTACTAACTCTTTAGCCAAAACATTATGAATGAAGGTGATTGTGTTGGTGTGTGTGCAGGCAGGAGGTTGGCGTGAGAGGTGGGAACGGTCACCGCCAGGATGGGTTGTGGTGGGCTGGCGCGTGGGGACTGATTGTGTGGGCGGAGACTGAACCAGACACCATCATTGGCTGCACACTCACCCTGCCTGGTACCCCGCATGTGGAGACCAGGAAGAAGATGTACCGGCCAGGTGAGTGCTACCTCTCTCTCGGGGAGGGGTTTAGTTCTACTAGGTGATGTCTGCCTACCTGCTCTCTCATGACGGGTTATGTCCCTCCCAGGTGAGTGATGCTGCCTCTTGCTCTCTCTGCGGTGTTATTTACCCCCAGGTAGTGTACCTCCCCTACTTCCTCTCTGACGGTGTTTTTTACCTCCAGGTGAGTGATCCTCCCTACTTGCTCGTCATGACGGTGTTATGTCCTCCCCGTGAGTGAACTGCCTCCCTGCTCTCTCATGCGGTGTTATGAAACCTCCCAGGTGAGTGATCCTGCCTACTTGCCTTCTCAGAGGGGTGTTATGCCCGCCCCGGGGAGTGGACCTGCCTAATGCTCTCTCATCTCGTGATTTTTGGGTTTTTATAGTGAGATCTAGACACAGTTAAAATAAAATTCAAAAAATTTTACCCTTCCTTTCTCTCTCTCTCTCTCTCTTCTTTCTGTGCCCCCTCTCTCTGGCCCTCTCCCTGTGCCCCTCTCTCTTCCCCTCTCTCTCTTTCCCCTCTCTCGTCCCCTTCTCTCTGTCCCCTCTCTCTCTGTGCCCTCTCTCTCTGTGCCCCCTCTCTTGTCCCCCTTCTCTCTGTGCCCTCTCTCTCTGTGCCCTCTCTCTCTGTGCCCTCTCTCTCTGTGCCCTCTCTCTCTGTGCCCTCTCTCTCTGTGCCCTCTCTCTCTGTGCCTCTCTCTCGTCCCCTCTCTCTCTGTGCCCCTCTCTTTGTGCCCCTCTCTCTGTGCCCTCTCTCTCTGTGCCCTCTCTTTTCTTTCCCCCTCTTCTCTGTCCCTCTCTCTCTGTGCCCTCTCTCTCTGTCCCCTCTTTGTGCCCCTCTTCTGTCCCCTCTCTCCTGTGCCCTCTCTCCTGTCCCTCTCTCTCTGTCCCTCTTGTGCCCTCTCTCGGGCCCCTCCCTGTCCCCTCTTCTGTGCCCCCTTCTGTGCCCCTCTCTCTGCCCCCTCTCGGGCCCCTTTTTCCTCCCCTTTTCCTCTTCTTCTCTTCTTTCTTTCCCTCTTCTCTCTAAAAAAAAATTTAAAAAAAAAAATAAAAAAAGGGAAAAATGAAAGAGAGAAAAAGAATGAATCTCAATCATGATAAAAATCTTCCAGTGTTTTGCAAATCATCGGAGGTTTCAACATTTGCCTCATCAATCTCTACACTTATTTTCACTTCACACTCTGATTTAAAACCCAACAAGCTTCCTGTTCCTTTCTGCTGTCTCAAGTTCCCCCGGTTCCTTATTACCCCCTCTTTCCCTTTCAAGGTCACTTTCTGAAACCATTTTTTCTACCCAAAATCACTTCACGATTCCCACTTCTATCATCCGTTCCCCGGGTTACGTAACCACTTAAGAAAGGTGGATGACATGCACAAGGTAGAACATTTCACGAAAAATCTACTCTTAAGAAGAACATTTAGGAACACTTCCTCGGCCCCATTTCAAATCAAATGAGGAGAAAAATGGAGAAAAGTGCAAAAAATAACAGGGTTAAAGGCACGAAAAGGGGGGACTTGTGGTAGTTTTGGGGTGTTGAATTAGATGCATTTAAACTCTATAGAGTAGTAGCACAGTCTAGAATAGAAAGAGTGCATCATAAACAAAGAACGGTTTTTGCAGCAGTGTTAGGAAAGTATAAATCATAAATTAATAGGCGTTTAATGGTTCACGGTGGGTAGGAAATAGTAGCAGAGAATGAGAGGGAAACGCATTTTCATCGCTCTAGCATAGTCCCCAAGAGGACGGAGAAGAACTGCAGCAGGCCCCAAATGTATTAAACTGAGAGGTTAAACAAAAAAAGATTCGAAGACGAGGAGCAATGAAAAAAAAGAAAACAGGTCAAAGGGACGGATAGGAAAAAACAAAATTTTGGTAAGAATGTTTTTAAGATTATGCCATTTAACTTTGCAAATGAAAAAAAAATTTGGCATATACTGAAGCAAAGCCAGACAAGATTTTTTGGCATGAAAAAAGGTATTAGAAACGGATTCAGGGGAAAATGGTGCTTTGACAGACGTTTTTCTCGATGGCCGTGATCTTTTGACTTGAAAGGAAAAGAATTGTATTAATGTTGCGATTACCCCAATTTACGTAAAAGGACACAAGTGGAAATTTTGTTACATTTTACTGTGGCAGGTTTTTGCTCTCCAGAGCTTTTCAAAACGTTTCGGCTTGATAAAGCTTTGTAGAGCGAAATGTTGACAAAAAAATGTCCTTGGAAATACATTGTGATGTCGGCTGGCAAACACCTTTTTGATCTTTATCTATGACGTAGGTAATCAGTCGTGTAACATGAGGGTGCTCGTGTATCTGTACCGTGTGGACTATAACATTAAAATTTATATAGACACCATTTTCTCCCCTCCTTTCTCAAACAGACAATATTTTGCAAGAGGGTTTACCTGATCACAAAATCCCAGAACACAACTTGGAGGTGGTGCTTTGTAGTTCCAGAGTTCCATTGACACAGTTTTTTTACGGGGAAGCGCTTATAAATACCAAAGGCTGGCGAATAAAATTTGTGGGGAAGACAGATGGAAAGACATAGTTTAGAATTACGGACTTGATTTCACAAAAAAGTGTGTTTTTTCTAGAGCTGTAGTGGTGATAGTTCGTCAAGACTGGGTTTGGGGATAGTTGTCAAGACTGGGTGGTGTAGTTTTGTCAAGACTGGGTTGGGGTTTTGATTCGTCAAGATGGATTGTGATAGATTGTCAAGACTGGGTTGTGAAGATTGCAAGATGGGTTGTGATAGATTCGTCAAAAATGGGATGGTGTTTAAATTTGTCAAGCTGGGAGGTGTTAGATTCTCAAGTGGGTTGTTTGATTCGTCAAGCTGGGGTGGTGTTTGATTCGTCAAGATGGGATGGTTTAGATTTGTCAAGACTGGGTGGGGATGATTCTCAAGATGGGGGTGAAGATTCGTCAAGACTGGGGTGGTGATAGTTGTCAAGACTGGGATGGTGTAGATTCGTCAAAATGGGGTGGTGTGCCTTTTCGGACGTAATAGTGAAAATTTTTCTTTTTTCATGTGCGTAGTTTTTTTCTAGTGTAGGGGGGGTAGTTTTATAGAGCAGTTTGTTTTGTGATAGTTGTGATTTGTGGCTTTTTAAGCACACTTGCCCGGGCCCCCACTTGGCATAAAGCCGTGACCCGACTGTAAAGCAATAAAATGAAATATAAATCTCAATTTCCTCGTCCCAAAAGCCAAAAGGGGGTACGAGGAAAACGGAAGTGTCACTGCGCAAATCTGGGAGAAAAAGACCCAAAATTAATCAAAGGCAATTTACGAGGAAAGTTGAAAGATCAGTGCAAGAGAGAGAGATTGAGGCAGAGGGAAAAATAGATAGGGCACCAATTTAAAAAAATGAAGGGATGCACAGGTGTCCCTTGAAGGTTTATTCCGCAATTCGTTGGAGATAGTATCAAGTGTTTCCTGGACAAGGAAGATGTGGTACCACAAAAATTCAGAGACAGATGGGTTTTAGAAAATAGAGATCGGGGAGACATGGGGGAACCAAAGAGGTTTGAGGGGAAGGGTTTGTATAAACCCGGAGAGGGGCCAACACGGAGAAGAGTCCGCAGTGGAACAGGGAGAGGGGGGGGGCTGGAGGGGGATTGGGGAAGAAGTTTGGGGAGGGACAGGAGGAGAGGGGACAACATGAGGGGCATGAACCTCCACCTCCGTGTGAGAGTTAGAAAGGGGGAATTGTAAGCACCGGAGGAATGCAGAGAAACTTGGGCTTAGGAGACAGGTTCAACTTTGCAGGTGATATGTTTAAGAAGGAGCAGGCATGTGAGGCCTTGCAGACTGGGGGGACCGTCAAGGTTGGAGGTCTCCTCGCTTCTTGAGAATAAGGAACATGAGGAAGATTCCCCTGAAGGTGGAGCCGAGACACAGCCTTAGCATAAGTAAAGCATTTGCTCACCTTACGACAATGGATTTCTCATTCATTATGATAGACCTGACAACGGCGGGAAAAAGAATGATGAGGTTCATTGCAACTGAGACAAGTGAGGGGAAGACTGCAAGATGTATCTGCATGATCCACGGTACTGCAGACCGGACACTTCACTGCAGATCTGCAGTATTTAGTGGGGTGTCTAAAGTGCCAGCAATTTCCACACTTTTGGGGAGTATGAACCACTTTACAGACCTCTAGTCGATGACTCGCGATAAACGGAGGATGGGAATTCACGGCAGTGAAAGGTTAAGCGGGCGATGTTACTGGGAAAGCGCCTCCGCCAGCAAATGGACAGGACATACGTATCCACATTGAGAATCGGAAGGTCCTGAAGGGCTAATTGCTCGAAAATGTCGTCACTGCAAGACAAAAAATCACACTGTACAATGGTATGCAGTAAAACCACCGCATCATTTCAAGAATTTAGAGTAAAGTGCTTGTGAACTGTGATAGGAACGTCATCAGTGGAAGTAAGATGGGAAAGATCATGAGCTTGTTCTGCTTTCTGAAATGTAATGATGCGTGAACCACTTCAGAGTGCTCGAAAAGATACATTTTGGCCAACGTGTCATAAAAGAACTTTACCACTACTATGGTCTGAAAGATAATTATCAGTTGGAGATGTTGGTTGTAGGGAAAAAAAATTAGTCCACTGCGTACTTGTAAACATGGTGCATAAAGGAAGTGGGTAGCGGTGCATAAAGAAAGTTGATCCTTCCTGGGTGGAATGAGCAGACATTGAAGAACCGTCATCAGCAAGCGGTCTGGAAAGTTTAGGCATAGCTCCACTGGTGGCCCGACCTGAGGTAGGTTGGCAATACGAAAACTGTCGCCCACCATATTTGGGGAAGCCAGACACATAGTTAAAGCATGCAAGAAGCAGAGGCACTAGAAGACACGGGCAGAGCCTCAGCACCTGGAGCAGGTGATGAAACGTCACCAGCAAAAAGTACAGGGGTATGGGAAAAGTCTGGAGAATGGTCCAATAACAAAGCCGGGTCAGAACAGGATGCAGTATTAAAAAGG